AATAGTTTCAAATCAAACATCAGTTTTGATTGGTTAATAGTTTGTAATTAGACATCAGTTTTGATTGGTTGATAGTTTTAAAGTAGACATCAATTTTGATTGGTTAATAGTTTTAAATCAAACATCAGTTTTGATTTGATAATAGTTTGTTATTAGACATCAGTTTTGATTGGTTGATAGTTGTAAATAAGACATCTATCTGACACTGCTGGTTTGCATTTTGTTTAGTTTTTTTTGCTACCTACTTGTAGCGAGACTAGTGTGACCCCTGACCTGTAAATCTGTGTATTAACGCTACTTGTCCATTGTGATCAATAGTTGTTATCATTATAATGATCAAATAACCACGTTTTCATATTCTTCTATAGCTGTAGGTGATTATGTCTGAGTGTTATAGTACTGGGTTTGTTACAGTAGATTACCTGGACTAAATTATGTCAGATTTGTCAATACCTTATGGCCAATAACAATTCCCCTACCAGTTCTCCTACAGAGTGGAGCTGTCAGCCTTTAACTGTATGGTCCTCAGTATTGTGTAATACTCATAATGGCCAGTGACAACAATACACTTCAAAATTCACACTGTCAAATTGTAACACTAATTTGGTTTCGCTTGTTTACTAGCGAGGAATCCTTTATTAGTCATACTTTGAGGTTAAAGGTCAGCTATGTCAGCTGGGTACAGATCGCGGTACTAAAAACCTCCTCATAGTCTCTTTGAAAGGTCCAATCTTTGCTTCAAGAGGATAATGGTTCTGTCAATGGACAGCACAGAGAAAATCACTTGGTAACCAGTGAAGCAAAAATCAATAGTGTCTCTGACAAATTGTGTGTGAATCACAAGATTTGTCACAAAAAGACTCATTCTTGTAGGAATCAATTGTGTTCAGGATTATTGGTTGATTAAGTGGATGACAACCCAGTTCTGATGATACAGTGTACACTGTACATGGTTAGTACAGGCATGGTCATTTCCAGATGTTTGTAGCTCATAGTTGCCAACTTTTCAAAATTTTCTTGGGTGAGATTCCATGAGCTCAAATTAAATACATAAATACAATTTGTGTATATATATACCTTATACCCCTTTAGAACGACATCTTTGAGGGTTTCTTTTAGATGCTTAGCAAATTTTCTGGCTGTTAAAATTTGTAAGAAAATCTTCTCAAAATATTTGCACAATAAGCATGTTTGTGGTGGTTCTTGCATAAAAAAACAAGCCTGCCTAAATTTGAGTACATAGTCACCCTCATCATAAATTTTAATTTTATTTACTTAATGAATTACAATAGATAAGGAATTATGCATCTAACAAACAAATTATGTAAATTTCTATGCAGGTTAATGATTTGGTGTGTATATATAGTTTTGTTATTTTCATACTTGTTTGAGGCTTTGCTTCTCCTATTAAAACTGTCTCTAAGGGAACTGTTCAGATTAAAAATCTGTATGTGTTGATTATAGTGCAAAGACTTCTATCAAAATATGCTGAGAAAATTGGATGCACAACAATTTGTAAACTTCCAAAAACAGTATCCTTGGAATAAAATAAGACTTTTGGATTTGTTGTTTTCCACATTGCTGTATTATTAGAGAGCTGAACAGCATCATTGTCTTTGTGATAAACAAACATTTCAAGAAACGTTCCAGCTATCTTTACTCCCTGATCGAATTACACATCCGGTGACATTTGCCCCTGGATACACCCGAGTTTTATGTTGTGCGACACCGAAATAAAGACTTTCTTTGTCAATATCCATAATGATGATAAAAGAAGGTAATGGATATTGATGACACTTTTCAGTGGAGAAAATTCGGAACAGTTCGATTAGCTATGCCAATTAATATTTTGTCATTAAAACTTGGCTATTATTTGGTGGGTAGACAGATGGCTGTTAGGATGGTGGTTGTATAGCTGTATCATGGTACGGTAAATGTCCTCAAATTTAAGGAAATTGTTTGACTAGAGTTTCAATGAATTTGTTTATTATAAAGTTAATTCCTTTATCATTTGTGTATTTTCTATAAAGAGCTGGCATAGTTTATCTTGAGTATGAAAATTAACTTCAGGTATATGGGATTATTCCCATATTAGAGATTTATGCAAGATCAACCAAAAATTGTCAAATGGTTCTTTTGAAATGGTGAATGTAGACGGATGTAGAAATTATTTGATGTTAGAATAGCATTTATATATTTGTGTAGGTCAAAAGTGAAAATAATATTCAAAAGTGAAGAATTATTTGGAAATAAAAACAAAAACTAGTTTCAAAAATTGATTATTATTAAGAATTGTAAAAGTTGTCTGTACATAAAATATTTCAATCACAATTTCTGGACATTTTCTGTATGTCAGACTCAGAATCTTTGACCACACACTTTCGTCACTGTGGCAAGACAGGGGAGAATAGAAAAAGAAAAGGACATTTTTAATAGACAATTTGAATTTATTAGGCACTCGGAACATCAAAGCAGAAAGATGACTCCTCTAAGGCATACAGTCAATCATAGAGGCCATGTCAATTACATGTGTGTTTTGTTCTCGTGACAATGGAAAGAATCTTCAGACGAGACTCTCGACAGCTTGATGTCTGAGGGTACGGCGTCACCTGAAACTCTTTCCAGCACACTTTCCCTTCCTCTGCCACAATATATGCAAAGACCAGGAAGTTACGACTCCACAGTTCATCAGTGGAGGCGTGTCACTGATGAAACGTCGCTCCGGCAAAGTAGAACTTGACTGCTCAAGGACGGGATTCAACATTGAAAATAGTGCTAATCTTGTATTGGAAAATCAATTCAAGCTAATCATACACTTTCAGACAATTTGAAACTTTTCAAATCTATTGGGAATGCTGCGAACATATTGCAGCGCAGCACGCTTTATCATTAAATCTTGTGTTCTGATAAAATGGTTTATATACAGTCGACATTATACTTTAATTGTTAGGTTGACAATTTCAACAATAGCTCTTGTATTTTTCCCCTGTATGAATGAAATGAGTCATGAATTTCAGCCCAATCATGTTCAGTTTGACATTTAAAGAAAATTTACTGTCGTTGTTTCCTCTTATATAATTCAAGCTAACTCAGTAATGAAATTTTATTATTTTCAAGACCACATGATGTGTACTTAGCATTAGATTATATTTCCATAGTTTTGTTTCTGTTTCTGTTATTTTACCTTTCTATAGTGACGTACTTGCCCTCTTCAGACTCGAACTAGAGACTAAATTCAACATGTAGTAGGAGACACTGTAGTCTAGTGGTAGGACATTGGGCTCGTGACCGAAGCGTTGCTGGTTCGAGTCATGGCACGGCACTGTGTTGTTTCTGTGAGCAAGATACTTTACTCTGCTTGTTCCAGTCTACTCAGCTGTAAATGAGGTTGTGGTTGGGTAGTGCTTGAATTGTTGAATGATAGCTGTGACTGCCGAAATGGCAGCACCGGCTGTATGCTCTCAGGCTGAGGGAGTTGAGAAAGCTATTGGCTGCTGCAAAGGCCCTATAACCAAGGATAATAATTTGTGAATTTTGATAAAGCGGTATATAAGAACCTCAAATTATTATTATTGTTGAATACATACATCATAACCATTTTAAGTCAAGCACCCTTATATATTCAGTCACTCTTTAATTTGGAGAGAGTTGCTGCAGGTGGCTGCATGGACACCGATGATTTTCTTATCCATATAGCACAGTATCAAACCCTTTTAGTATATATACCATTATTGGGGGAGGGGGTCTCCAAGTGTCGATAGGTCCCTTAACACCAAAATTTAATTTTATACATCAAACATATAAACTATAACAATTTTTCAGGTCCCTGTGTACAATATCACTGTTTTTGCTTATATTCTATTTTCGCATTATAAATATGTATGTCTATATATATACACACTTAGATTAACTAACGATTTTGTAATAGTAGTATTACTGGATGGTTTCTGGTTAATATACTTAACTTATTTCATATAAATTCTTGAATGTGATTATGCAGACTGCTTATATTATCTTGTTCATTATATTTGTTAGGAGTGGGAGAGACAAATTATGCTGTAAATAACTCCTGTAAAGACATGTAAACATCAAACCACACAAAGCCAATGAAAATGGAACGCTGGTCCAGTATAGCGGAAGTATTTGGGTCAGGGGCAAGGGTGAGGGTGGAGGAGGAGGGATGGGGAGTAGGTGTTAAACACAGGTGTAGCTGTAAGGCTCCATGCCACCTGTTATCAGTGTATATAACTTGCCTTACATGAGCTCGTTACCGTTACCGTTTTTTTCCTATGTCTGAATGAGTCATTTAGGTCAGGAGGTATAAAACAGATTCCACTGGTGATTAAGTGTTCCACTGATGCTGTAATCTTTAACTTCATAAAAGTAGACTTACTAACTAAAATATCTTCATGACGTAAAATTATGATTCCCCATATCTTCTTATCTGTTGTGTAGATATAAGTCTTAACAATGAATTATCTGCAATTAAGTTTTAAATTGTTCAAAGGAAACCATACAAATCAAAATAAACTTGTAAAACCAGAATTTAGCGTATAGGTACAGTGTACAGTACATAAATTAATCCCTTCTTGCACGTTTGATATTTTATTTAACATTATGAACTGTACACTGTGTGCTTTAATATTGTTTTGAAATCATGGCCTTCACTGGTGAATTTTGGTGATGACTAAATCAATTTTACTCTTATCAAGTCTAAATCATTAATGAAAGTTGACCTTGGAAAAAAATTGAGTTTACACCCTCCAAATAAGAAGGATGTCAAAACCAATACATCAATTTCCCCATATAATTTATTATCCCATCTATCCATTATGTGGTTGTCATCCTATTATGTAACACGATCCTGCTAGTCTTTGTCACTCAGAAGCTTGATCGAATACACGAAGATGCTTGTCTGTCTGGCAACTTTGATTTTTTCAGGAACATGTAAATCTATCTTATTTGATTGATTTTATCACGCCTTTCTTCTGTCTTTGCAGGTCACCTTGCCCCGGAGAATGTCGAATGATACTAGAAATACGACCATGAATGACTATGATGTACCGCCAACCCGAAATGTTAACGACTCCTTGTATAATCATTCTTTTCATGAACAAACAAACTATGACACCCCATCCAGTGCTAGGAATGAGTCTGGACATAATACATCCAGTTTGGATCAATCGTTATATGATACGCCACCGGCACATAAATCTCTCGGTGTTTCACAGGACTCGATGTACGATGTACCACCAAGTGGGGGTGAAATGTACGATGTTCCGGCCCCGTCGTCTAACCGGTCTAGTATCCTGTCCAATCTGTCGCACCTCTCAAACGAGTCCACGATGACCTACAGCAGTAGCAACTTTTCAAATAAAAGTCACAGCCACAATTCAAATCCTGCAAGCATGTGCGACTCCGCACGTTCAAGCATGGACATTTCTCCGCAGGACTTCTACGATGTGCCGCCTTCTCATCAGGAGACACGTCACATGACATTGAACCACAATAAGCAGCCCTCTGCTGACTCGGGGCTGGATTTATATGACTCTCCACCAAAAGGACTGACAATACCTGAGCCGGCAGATCAGCAAGATTATGATGTGCCACGCTCAGACTACGATACACCAAAGTCGATCAGTGCTACAGATACAGAACGGACACTTGAGCGTCAAAAGTATCGGAACCTGTACGATACTTCCAAAAATAGCAGTTGTGATAAATCTGACCCGAAGGAGCATGATATTGATGATGTGTATGATGTTCCACCTAGTAACGCTCCGGTCAGGAGCAAAGTGCTGTTCCAAACAAAAGGGGATGCAGGCTCGTCTATGTTTAAAGGGGATACCAGTATGCTCGATAAAAACTGCTCCCTTCTTAGTGATATGAGTCTGAAGGTCGACCCGACTGGTGTATATGACATCCCACCTCAGGTCACCCGAGACTCCATGTTGTCATCAAAGTCCGAGTCATCTGACGGAATGGATGACAAACGCCTGTCCATGTGCAGTGTTGATTCTCGGAATTCTGATATACCGATTTACGATGAATTGCCTCTAGATTTGGATGCTGCTATGGACCTCATGGTAAAACTGCAGCAGGATGTTCAACGGGCCACAACAAAACTGTCGAGCTTTGTCAGCAGTGTGTGGAGAACCAAAAACAACCTGGAGCCAAATGTCTATGCCATCAAGCTGGCTTCAAATGGTGTGAAAAACTCTCTGGATGAGTTTCTTGCCTTCGCACAAGGCACTTTGGCCAATTCGGCACGACTTCCCGATAGTAAACTCATAAATAAACTGCACAGGCAACTGCACCCTTTACAGCAGACTTTGGTACAGGTGAAGGTATGTCTGAAAAACCTTGAAGAGAGCAACTGGCAACTCGGAGCACTTGTTACCGAAGATGCATCAAAGAAGGATGATCTTGGCATAATTGCATCAGTGTCTAAAGACTTAACAGTTGATGTGAGAAAACTTGTGTCTTTGATTCACGGTAATTCACCACTGCTGTTTAAGCGAGCGTCTGACATCCCAGGATATCTGCTGGAACCAAACTCCACAAGCTCTGTGGAAACATGTTCTGCTGAATCAAAACCTCCACTTCAGCCTAAACCACAGTTGCCACCAAAGCCTGGGGGCGGGGGGAAGCCATGGAATCTACAGCATAGACCCCTTCCTCCTCCACCGCCCAAGGAAAGGCCCCTACCCGCAACACCCTCGGACAAAAAGTCTATAGTGGATGTTGATAAGCGCGTGTCGGGTGAATTCCAGCGAAATTCTGATGATTTCCGTAGATACTCTGCTGAGTTCAAGCGACTTTCAATGGAGTTGAAGTACAAACAGAACGAAAGTAAAGAGAAAGATCTTGTTGAGGAGTATGATTATGTTCATTTAGAGGCTAGAGATGTGGATGAGCAAATGAAACAGAAAAACAGTTCAGAAATAAGGGGAGATGTTCATGAAATGCCTGTGCGTGACCAGAGCTTACCAGCAAAAACCTCATCACATACTGACACTAAAACCTCGTCAAATGACCTTATAATACCGACTAATCGTAATATAGACCAGTCAAATGCTGATATGCAAGGTGTGATGGGGCCTGTTAATATACGGTACGAAAGTCCAAAAATGACACAGACAGTGACACCAACTATTAAACTGGACCCCAATGACAAACAGGTGCTTTTCTTCTACTCTGGACAGTTGGAGACGCATTCGACGCTTCTTATGAATGCCGTTGATGCTTTCTTTGCCTGTATAGAAAAATGTCAAGGTCCAAAAGTGTTCATATCCCATAGTAAGTTTGTGGTGGTTTCGGCTCACAAGCTTGTGTACATTGGTGACAGTCTGCACAAAAATCTCATCAATAATGAGATCAAGAATAAGATTATGCACTGTGCAAATAATTTATGTAACTGTCTAAAGGCAGCAGTGACCACGACCAAGACGGCTGCCCTTCAGTACCCATCTGTTCCGGCTGTACAGGACATGGTTGACCGAGTCACAGATGTGTCGCACGCTGTGTATGAATTAAAACATGTGATATCTCAGGCAGCCTCATTATAGCATCAGTTTATAATACCACGGATACGGCTATAGGTTAACGGTATAATTATCTACCAGTTGTTCAAATATCCGTTCAGATTTTTTTTTCCCATTGCATTTTGAAGAACTTCAAAATATGGGAGGAAGAAACCGTCCAGTGTTTAAAATAAAAATAATTGTAACGGAAATCTAAGGATACTGCAGCTATTGTATCAAAACTTTGATTAGTGATAGTGTGGTTAAAGGGAAGTAACTCTTGTTGAGAATTTGAATATTGAGTATATTTCGTTCCTGAAAATTACTTTCCTCTGATCTCATTTAAAAAAAAAGTGCTGATTCATTTTTAAGTTGATGCCTGTATTGTTTAACGCTATTTTTCCCCACATTTTGTTTATTTTATGTTTGCAAGGTCATATTGATACACTTGTAGGTTGTATTAACTGTACTGATTGGTATGTAGGATGTGACTGAATTTTACAGCATCTAATATTTGATGAGAACGAGAACCTAAGTATGATTTTGAAGTTCCATGTTACAGGGAGAGGTATATTTATATAGAGCTACAGAGACTTACACATTGTACAAACCCACAAAATGAATTTTCTTAGATGCTCCAATAATTTCAATTTTCTGAAGTAACTAATATTTCTGTAACAGAATTTGAATTCAAATGAAATATTTGTGATATTATCTTTACCAGGAAACTTGAGATATGTTATCATTTTTGAGCTGATTGAGGAGTTTTAATATCAATGAGTTTATAATTTGTCTTTTTCTTCTCCTATTTTTTTGTGTAAATTTGAGTGATTCAACTCAGTGATTTCTAGTGTTTAAAACTATGTTATCTTATTAAATAGAAAACCAGTGCTTTCTACCCTTTCAGTTCTTATTTCTTGCTATGATGATATTTGAACTTGAAATTTTCATTTGGTCATCAAATTTCTATGAGTAATTTTATCGTTTTTTCAAGGCTGTATGATCAAAAGATATTAATCTTTCATACCAGAGTCATGATAACCTTATTGAAAAACATGACTTATCTCTCCTTGATGATAACTCTTCATGTGAGAATATGAACTGTGAAAGCTAAGAGTTGTTGAAAAACCTGTGATGTTGTTGAATGAAAAAATGACAATATGATATTTGTACATATAGAAGTATATTTTAATATAACTTAACGACAAATAATGAATGATCCTGCTCCATTATGGTGGGTTAATTTATTTGAGAAATCGATCGGCACTGCTGTTGTGTATATGTATTACACTGTCCAACTTTGTACTAGAAAGTGCCTTTATTTATCTGTTGCCTTATAAATAGTGCATCTTCATTTGGGACATGCAGTAAAGTTTATGTGTCCGGAAAAGGTTGGTTTCTTATAAAGTGTCATCATTTCCATTTCTTATCTTAATTTATAGATCTATTATTGAGAGTTTAGTTGACTTGCACAAAGGGAGATAACTATTATACACCATATCTTAACTATTTAAGTTATGTTTGACAGGTATTTTCATTTTAGAAATTATTACCATAACATCATTATGCTTCATAAAGGTATTGGAAAACATGACATCAGAAACATTGGTTTTTTAAATGGGACCTCATTTTAAAATCAAAATGGGAAAGGCAACAAGATTGGAAACCTGAAGGAAACATTCTTTTTAACAAAGACTATATACATTTTCATAATTTATGTGTAAAGTCTTTCATTTAAAATTGTTTGCGTACATGTTCCAAACATCAGGATATTGAAAAGGTTGGTTACAAATGGGGAAAAAAAGAAACTCAATCTCTAGCTTTAGAACTACTCAGAAAATTTGTTCCATCTCCCTTTGATATTCTTCAACACCAAATGAAAGTAAATACTTTGAAAGGTTGACCTCTGGGTGACCTTATGTTGACCTGGTTGACCTTTGTGTATATGTTACTATTTATGTAGCTGCCAGAGAACCAATGTAACCGGCTAATGTTTGCATCTCTATAACGTTTATGTGTCTATATTGCTAAGCAATAAAGTTACTCATGATTAATATAAACCCCTTGTCTTTGTATTATTTTCTTTAACCTTAAGGATTTGAATGAATCGGAGGACTGTCAAAACTGGACACTACTGGGCCCTTAATTACTGTTTTGTTGGACTTCAGATCAATAAGTTCCTTCAATATAATGAGAACTAAAAATATATATATGTGAATTTTTAAAAATATCTTGTTTCATACATGCCAAATTAAACAACTGGAGTGTGAGACTGGAGAAAATTGCTCCAAAGGGTTCCATATTATAGTATTGGGAACATTTCTAAAAGTCCAATGAAACCAATAAAAAAGTTTTGGTCAATCCTACTATAAATAACTACATACCATCCTCGATGTCCAGGGGTTATTACGCTCACTTCCGCTCTCTACACCCCTGGAATATGTCATACCAAAATTGAAGGCACGAAACTACCTATTTGATTGGTCTCGGGTAAAAATTTCTGACCAATGATGCTATTTCTTAGAAGAATACAGAGGAGCGACGCTTGACTTCAAAGCCAGAACGTTTTACCGTTACGTCACCGCCAGATTCTTTTGATGTACATCAGAGGATCAAATTAGTGTTCTCGTCTCCTCCACAAGGTTCTGAAGACTGAGCCTTCGATTTTGCTATGACATATTCAAGGGGTTCAGAGAGTCAGTGAAAGTGAGCGTAACCATGGATACCGAGGATGACTACATTGCACCCCTTGAGTAGTACATATATTCATTCAATCATTTGTGCTTGTGAGCACAGGTACTTGTGTACAGGGTATTTAAAAGTGTCCAATCAAAACTTACTCCTGTTTCGATGCTCTTAAAATGACGTATAACCCTGCTCTTTTTGGGAGTTGCCTCCCTTCACACACATTCTGGTTGTCTGATTAATGGCTTAATGTGAAACAAAACGAGCCCATCGTTTGGGACGCCATTGTCATAGCATGGCCTTATAGATGTTGCCAGACATGAAATCCAAATCAATCATTAAGCCTGAAAGATATCCTTCAGTAGAACAGTGACATTTCCGAGAGTCTCAGATTCAAATGTCCACATATACAGCTCACCATCTGAAATTGATAATCAGCAGTAGTATTTGACCTCGACACTGCCACTCTTATATATAGGTTTAAACCACTCAACTTCTGGTAATTCCTTGAATTTGTACCAGACTATTTTCAGACAAGAGTACTTTGTCGTGATATTTAAATCTTGATATATTAGTAGATCACAATGATGTTGTTCAATAGTATTTTCCCATAAGGACACCCACACGGCTGCCAAAACTGAACTTTTTATTGGATTTTTTTAACGGCATGACATTGGCTTTCTCAAATATCTTTGATATAAATCATGTGATTCTCTAATTTCATACGTGTTTCTTCAACTGGAGATGTAAAACTTGTTTCTAAATCCTATTCAAACAATTATGTTTTGCATTGCATTATACCGTAAACACAAAAAGAAATGAAACTAAGATTGTATTAAACGATTTCTGATTTTCCGAAGAAAGTTAATGTAAAAATATTAAACGAGAAATAAACAAAAAATAAACAACAGCGAGAGTATTTAAAAAAAAGAGAGGTTAGACTGGGATGCGAGTTCTGGACCTCTTGAGTTTTAGGCTGATGATAAATAATGATCAGAATTGAAGACACTTCAGGCAGAAATCGCTGACTTTACGATAATGACAAAACCCGCTTCTGACTTCCATTAAAGTTACATTATACAATACCTATAAATTGCAATGTGTTATAACTAAGACAATAACTGGTATCGCTAAGACAATCGTATTATTCAATTTTGACCAAAGATTAAAAAACAGGACAAATAAATGAAAAAGAAATAACAATACCTAAATATATATGAATTTATTGAAACACATTTTAGCTGTTTGTTTTATGGCACAGAAGTCAAAATATATAATCTGATTAGGAATAATGAAAACACATGTAAGAATTAACTTGTTTTTCATTCATCCCTAAAGTCACTACAAACTCCTTATATACTCAATGCAGACCCCTTACAAACTCACTGATGAATCCCTATTGACTCACTATATACTCTTTATTGACTCACTTCCAGGACTATCTATTGCCTCACTGTATACTCCTTATAGACGCAATGCAGACCCCTTACAAACTCACTGATGACTCACTGTAGACTCTCTATTGACTCGCTTCAAGGACTCTCTATTGACTCACTAAAGACTAAATGCAGACCCCTTACAAACTCACTCATACTCACTGATGAATCCCTATTGACTCACTTCAAGGACTCTCTATTGACTCACTGCATACTCCTTATTGGCTCACTATAGACTGCATATAAACTCAATGCAGACCCCTTACAAACTCACTGTTGACTCCCTATTGACTCACTGTAGACTCCTTATATGGACTCCCTGTAGACTATACATATAGACTCTCTCACGAGTCATTGTAGACTCCATATACATTACCTATCGACTCCTTTATAAAGTCATTGTAGACTTCCAATAAAGTCTCTATAGCCTCACTGTAGGTTCTGTATTGACTCGTAGAAAAGACTCCATATATATTTCTGACACAATCACTGTATAATCATTGTCGTTTTTACTGTAGCTTGGATATCAAGGAACAATGTATTAATCAATGAACCCATATCTCCACAATATAAAATGTGTCAAAAGGTTGGGGAAAAAACAAGTCACGTGTAGATTACTTAGTGTGTAATGGGTATAAGTGTAGATCAGTATTTATAGAAATCCCTCCTCATTTAGCTTTTAGCTATTGCAAATAGGGCATGTGATGTGAAAAATAATTAGGTAGAATTTAGAGGATGCAAAATTATACCCCAAGAAATCAAGAGAAAGTATGTAATATAGACATCAGAAAGGAATTTGGAGTTGGATTTCTCACATACTTCAGAGGAGTATGCCCGTACTATGGGATGGGTTTGACGGCTCAATCACCCCGCTGGGATGAAGACAGAGAAACGCGCGGGATAAAGATACTTCATCACAAACTTACTTTAGTGAGTCTACATTGAGTCAACAGGGATTCTTTGTTGTGAGCCTACAGGTTGACTACAGCGAACCTTATAAAGTGAGTCTACACTGAGTCAACAGTGATTCTTTGTTGTGAGCCTACAGGTTGACTACAGCGAACCTTATAAAGTGAGTCTACTCGAGTATAGCGAGTCTTTGTTGTGAGCCTACAGGTTGACTACAGCGAACCTTATAAAGTGAGTCTACAGTGGGACTACAGCGAACCTTATAAAGTGAGTCTACGCTGAGTCTAGTGAGTCTATGTTGTGAGCCTACAGGTTGACTACAGCGAACCTTATAAAGTGAGTCTACGCTGAGTCTTNAGTGAGTCTTTGTTGTGAGCCTACAGGTTGACTACAGCGAACCTTATAAAGTGAGTCTACTCGAGTCTAGCGAGTCTTTGTTGTGAGCCTACATGTTGACTACAGCGAACCTTATAAAGTGAGTCTACACTGAGTCTAGTGAGTCTATGTTGTGAGCCTACAGGTTGACTACAGCGAACCTTATAAAGTGAGTCTACTCGAGTCTAGCGAGTCTTTGTTGTGAGCCACATGTTGACTACAGCGAACCTTATAAAGTGAGTCTACACTGAGTTTAGTGAGTCTATGTTGTGAGTCTACAGTGGGACTACAGCGAACCTAAAGGGGTCAAAATTGCACACACACAAACACACAATAAATGTGTAAACACGTTTCGCTTTGAAAGCCCCTGTCTCTCACAATCTCAACCTACATACGTTTCACTCGCTCTTGTAACACAACCACTCTCTTAATTAAACACATAGTTTTAATGATGCAGTTCTGGAGCGAGGATCGGAAGAGGGTAAAAATCATGTACCGTATACCGGGAGCAGGGAACAATACCACTGCCTGTCCAGCAGTACAGTCCAGTCTTGTGTGTCCGGAGGTAGGCCGCCATCATCCCAAACCCGCTATTGGACAACACAAGTACGTCACATGTGGCCAAGAACAAAAAGTCCAAAAGCTGCTTCTTAAAACCTTCACAAACATCTCCACGCCGATAGCTAGATTGGTCAATATGCATGATACTACCAGGAATATCGATAAATGTATTTTTGAATCTCTCTCGGGCTGTTTTTCTAACGCTATCATCATCTGTTGCAACAAAAATATTATAATCATTTATGTATAGTTGATCTAGAAAAGACCAAACTGCCTTGAGGGAGTTTTTATCATTCCTCGGATGGTCATTTCGCATGCTTGGGTTGCCGCCTATTCGCAAATGAGCGCAAGCAGTTTTACTTCTTGTGGTATCATTACGAATATTGGCCAACACCTTGACTATTTCTTGTGAAGGTTTGAATAAAGTATTAAAAAGGTTGAGATAGATATCTGAAAAATGTAACTCAGTTATCCAAGGTGCATATTTCTGAATGTTTGGATATTTTCTAAATTGTCTGGTAAGGTCCCAATTCATTCGAATAAAGGAAAAGTCCCTTTGAAAATACTTTTGCAATCCTTTTGGCGTCAACTCTTTTCCCATCTTATGATAAAGATTGTTTGTGAGAATGTGGTATGATGTAGATTTACCCTCATATTCCGAACGTCCGATGGTCCAGTTGTACTGGTTAGGTCCGAGGTATTTTGAAAGGACACATGGATTGTCGAAATTAATCTTGAAAGTCCTGTTTGTGAGAGTAGCGAGAACAAGCGTCGAGAGGATCCCCGAAAGCCGGTCAGACCATCCTCCGCATTTCTCTTTACGGGCCTTGCTACAGTCATAAATTAAATACCCCTTTAGGCCTTTTCTTTGTAAACCCATGGTATCGTTCAACCAAATATTTGTATACCCGCTGACATCAAACATGTGGTTCCCACTCTTGAACTCCTTTCCACCACTAAACTTCAAGTTTTCGGTTTCCGCCTCCGCTTTTATATTGTTTGAAGTTTTTGCTACTTTCTGTGCGTGGTAAGACTCCGTGGTAGGTTTGAAGCCTCGTGATGAATTCGCTTGTTTCTGTGTTTGTTTAGGTTGCAATCCTTCTAAGGAAACAGTATAACCATTTAAAACTTTCGCTTGATCCGGTGTATTCTGCTTTAGGTCTGCACCATTGATGACGTCATGTTTGTCACTTGTCTTTTGACTTTGAGCTCCACTTGTGTTCGTTACGTGATGTTTCGAGTAATTGGACCTTAAAGTAAACCTAGCTAACTGTGAATTATTTCTCAACTTTTCTACATTTGTTCGTTTTGAATATCCTGAAGAACGTTTCGAAACGTTTAAAGAATGGCGGTTCTGCTCAAACAATGTGTTTGTCGAGTTACAATTCCCGGACTTTGAACTTCTGCAATTGTTTTTTGCTGTTTCAAAATTATTAACAAACACACGTACACCCCTCAAAGCGTTCTCTTGGTTTTTATTCCACGGGCTATCCAGGAATTTGTGGCGGAGGTCTTTCTCCCAACGGACAAGGATGATCGTCAGAATAATACATACCATCAATAATATCGTAAACGTCTGTATCACCGTTTCCTTCATAGTGACGATATTATCTGAAAAAAGGAAAATGAAGAGGGTGTTAGTCTAAAAAAAGGTTTGTTGCACTTTCCTGAAACAAAAAAATACTCAAAAGAACAACATCAACAACGACCACGACGAAAAAAATACAAAAAAATACAAAAAAACAAACTGTATAAGTTAAGAGACGGTGTGAATGGCTCTTTCCGATTCCTCTTCTTTTCAGTAAAAAGATATGGAGAGAAGAATGTTAAAATATTAAAGTCTGTTTCTGGGTAATAATGGCAGTATTAACCTGTATCTCACCTGTTTTTTCCTGTGGTAAACTGTTCTATGTTTGTAGCTAGAATCTGATAATGTTTGATAATATATCACATAAAACATTTAATAATTTTATCAAACGTAAAACACAAATGAACAAACACAAATCATGTCATGATATGGCTTAAATACCAAGTAAGAATGTATATGTGACTGAAAGTGTGGTGTATCGACAACCATAAAACATAAATTGCACGGAATAATAAATTACACGGAATAACATGTCTTACTGGGCTCCTCTTTAACTTTTTTTCATCTTCTTTTTTGCAATCAAGATATTTAAAAAAAAAAATCTCAGATCATATCCAGCATCTGAAGCATTTGTTGAGATGCACTACAGTTGAATTCAATACCTATGAATTATTTATAATTCAAGCTCCCTTTTGGAAAAATAAAATCTAAACATTGATGAGGAAACTGACAAATTCGCTGGAGAGTACAAACACAACAGCTGAAGCTTGAAGCAGGATGTACAGCCCGGGATGTATCTATGATGTAAGTTTAGAAGTCAAGGACTTAAACGTTTTTGAGATATAAACTTAACATTGATGAGGAAACTGACAAATTCGCTGGAGATTACAAACACAGCTGAAGCTTGAAGTAGGATATACAGCCCGGGATGTATCTATGGTGTAAGTTTAGAAGTCAAGGACTTAAACGTTTTTGAGATATAAACTTAACATTGATGAGGATGATGTAACAGTCCAGGAAATGTAGGCCGCATTCAGTATCTGACCAGGAAATGTAGGCCGCGTTCAGTATTTGACCAGGAAATGTAGGCCGCATTGAGTATCTGACCAGGAAATGTAGGCCGCATTCAGTATCTGACCAGGAAATGTAGACCACATTGAGTATCTGACCAGGAAATGTAGGCCGCATTGAGTATCTGACCAGGAAATGTAGGCCACATTCAGTATCCGATGCAATTAAGGAGCCAATCTGAAACTATGGTCCATGTTTGGTTGATGTAGCACTCATATATAGTCTCGTTCAACCAGGCGCTTGATCACTTGTAATTCTCTGTTCGGTGTAGCTTGCGCAGACAACAAGAGTCTGTATCATATTTAAAATCGTAAGACTAACGGGAACAGTCGGCACTTTCCGAAAACGAGAAATTTTCACGTTTACAGAAAGTACCGACGGGTCTCGATTGAATGACAGAAAAAAACACCTGTCTATTTATGTTACGCTACCGCCTCGATTAAATCAACATACATGAATGTTTATAAATTCTTTATCTGGAAGACTTTGTGATCTAACCTGGAGTACATGATCATCTATACAATTGTACAGGTAAATTATGCATGCGTTGACTGCCTTAACGTAATACACTGTATTGATCGGTGAACGGCATGGGACCGAGTTCGAAGCATTGTATGTTAGCCCTTATACTATTTTGTTGTATCTAATTTGATTTTTATTTCACGAATACATTAAACACTGGTTATTACTTCCGCCATACTTGTTACAAAATTCGAAAAAATGCTCCTTACTAAATCCGTGTACACATTCTTTATCGGTATGAACTCCCCTCATTCGTGTAACCAGCCGAGTCAATGTTTTCAGATATAGCTATATATATTTGGGAGTTAACATAAGACATTTATCCGTGTCATTCCGTCCCTTCCTATACGGAATACTTTTACTTACCTGTTGAGGCCGATGACTAATTAAAATCGTTTTAACGTTGTCTCTGTTCAGCTCTGTGTTGTACTCCGGTAGTAGAACGACGATATCACGTTCAAGGTCGTTTACACTCACACGACAGGCCGGGTATGTAGCTGTTCCAGTCGGGGTATTATTAAAGCCAACAACGAAACAGAACAAAGAAGGCTATGTTCCTACGTGTAATATACGTCTCTGGTTCCATGAGTATTTTTAAGCTTAGACACGGGTAATTAAATTTGTATTGAATGTTAACATATTATTTTGGGTAGCGTAAAGAAGTTAGTATTTACGTTGACTAACGGACTAAAGCTAGTCAGTAGTGATTAACTCTTGGTTATAACAGGGGGAGGTGTTATCTAAGTCCGTGGGTATATCCACTTCGCTACCGTTAACAATTTACAGTCTATACTGACATTCACACACTAACAATTGTTTTTCCCGCAAACTACAGATATCATCTCATAACCTGACTATAGAACGTGGCAAGTTTCCATGACAACGAAAATACATGTTACGGTCGGATTTATTGGAGGGGGTCTAATTTGAGTTCACTGGTAATAAGGGAGATAACTCTGCCGTCCAAGTGGCGGGAAATTGTAGGTCATGGCGGATCTACGTTGCGAATGCGTAATCAGTATACCGTGAATAAACTGACATATACACAACAAAGTTCCTGTCCTCCTTGCAGGTAACTTTGTGTCAGCATCCAGGACACCAAATACATACGGGCGGAGCTAAACAATTGTTTCTGCGAACGAGACAGAATTGCGTGAAGTCATTAGATTAAATTACATGCTTTAGTACCTGTTCTCTCCGCTAGGCTTCGCTCTTTTGGATACAGTTTAAGCGTAGTCTAGCGGTGAGAAGGACATTTATGACAGGTAGACACGTTTATGACGTCATCAACAGTAGATTTTGATCAGTGGAGTTATACCTTGACCATGGATTATGCCAGTTTAAGGCTGTTATTCTTAAACCGATAATTCGTTTACAAGTTTTCGACTATGCGTCCGCTGATTCAGATTAATGTGAAGCCGTCTATGATCTCTTCAGTCGTACTCAAATGGAGTTTGTTTTGCATTGGGGCAGGCATCCTTAATCATGCGATGCTTGTGTTTACCTCATGATCATGGTCGTGATACAAATGTAGCTTTGGGTTTGAATGTTGTCTACGCATCTATAGTAATTGATATTTCGAAAATGATATTGTTAGTTAACTCTTCAAATGATAATTCCTCGAAATTTGAAGGTGATAATAGTGATTGAGAATCTTTAAAGAATTTTCTTAAGGACCCCTGTCCCACTACTCTGTGGTTTTCCCCTATATAGAGTAACCTCCCCTTAACTTCCGTTCGGATACACTTCTGTTGACAATGTAGCTCAATCGGTTAGAGCGATAGTATAACAATCTGAACTCCAGGGCCCGTATTCATGAAAGCGTTCTCGTGTTCAACCATGGATTCTGTGTTCAAACCAACTTTCTTGTAACTCGCTTAAATCATATCAAAAGATCAAAAAGTCAAAAATAAACATTGAAAACAGTTTTCGTCTTTAAGTCTCTTCAAAGTTTTCCCAAATCATTGACAAAATAAGATTTACTTACGAATTCATAGCCGTAACAAGAAATTCGGCTTGAGCACAAACTCCATGGTTGAGCATGAGAACGGTTTCATGAATACGGACCCAGGGTTCGTGTCACGGTTAGCCCTGTTGATTTTTTATACACACAATATCTTGTCTTTATTGTTTCTCATAAAAGTCCCGCAAGGTATCAGAGCTATAATCGTGACAGCCAGAAGGTTACCATGTATTTATAGGTTGTAGAAGTGGTACAAGGACCATAAACGCAGTATATAACATGGCGGAAGCTGAGAATGAAACACAGAAAAATCAAAGAACGACAAAATTAGTTCCCTTCAGACAATATTAATAAAAACACAATAAAACAAATATTGTATGTTTCTAAATAGGCAATTGATATTTTGGTAACAACTGATATTTACATACACATGTGGCCAGGACCATATGCAGGCGATGCAGACGATGCAGTTTATATGATGTGGTATATAAATTGTGTCATTGTGTGACGCTATGATTTATTTTGTCCCTTTATGACGGTGCTGTGGTTAAGTTTGTACTTGTATGTTGATGCTTTGGTGTATTTTAGAATGGGATGTTGCCATATTGTATTTTGTCATTGTGTGTTGACGTTAAATTATATATGTATATTTTGTGCTTGTGTGTTGACGTTATAGTATAAGTATAGTTTGTCATTTTGTGTTGACGTTGTTTTATAAGTATATTTTGTCATTTTATGTTGACGTTGTTGTATACGTATATTTTGTCATTGTGTGTTGACGTTATAGTATAAGTATATTTTGTGATTGTGTGTTGACGTTGTTGTATACGTATATTTGTCATTGTGTGTTGACGTTATAGTATAAGTATAGTTTGTGTGTTGACGTTAAAGTATATGTATATTTTGTCATTGTGTGTTGACGTTATATTATAAGTTTATTTTGTCATTGTGTGTTTTCGTTGTTGTATACGTATATTTTGTCATTGTGTGTTGACGTTATAGTATAAGTATATTTTGTCATTGTATGTTGACGTTATAGTATAAGTATATTTTGTCATTGTATGTTGTCGTTGTTGTATAAGTATATTTTGTCATTGTGTGTTGACGTTGTTGTATAAGTATATTTTGTCATTGTGTGTTGACGTTGTTGTATACGTATATTTTGTCATTGTGTGTTGACGTTATATTATAAGTATATTTTGTCATTGTGTGTTGACGTTGTTGTATAAGTATATTTTGTAATTGTGTGTTGACGTTGTTGTATAAGTATATTTGTCATTGTGTGTTGACGTTGTTGTATAAGTATATTTTGTCATTGTATGTTGACGTTGTTGTATACGTATATTTTGTCATTGTATGTTGACACTTAGGTACCTTTTGTCCTTGTGTGTTGATGTTTACATATACACTGCCCTTGGGTGTTGCTATGGAAAAATTTCCCCATAAGTCAAAGTTACTATTGAAGTTTTTTCCCTTTTGTGTTGCTATGGTATATATTTTCATTTCGTGGTGATGTTGAGGTATTATTGGTCATTCTGTGTTCACGTCATTAAAATCTAAAACGGATTTGTCAGTTACCAGTGTAAATTACAACTGGTCATTTTACGCAAGGTTCATGTAAAAAAAAATATAACATTTTCTGTATAACGAGAGATACTAAGTCCAAACACATATATCAGCTGTGAGTTTTGTGTACACTTTCTGTGATGTACGTGATAAATACGTATGTCTATATCAGTAAGTATACTATTTGTTTTAGTTACAATAACTCTTTTTGTTTTAAACTGAACGGATATAAAGCTCTTCACGTTAGTTTTATCTACCGATAAATCACATACGATCCAACGCATGTAAATAGCAAAGGTAGGTTTAAAAAATATATAACAAAGGTTAATTCTACAAACTAAAACCAGCACTGTGAATAATTACAATATAAAAACAAAATTACTTCAGGGGTATAACGACGGGTACAAAAACAGTTCATGAATTTATATTTACATGGGGTGGACAGTTCTAAAGGATGTTTATCCACTAAATCGCATACGTACTAGCACAAACTATCAGCTTTGGTTGTGTCATGCTGGAAAGTCATGCGGAAAGATAACCGTCCACGTCTCAAAAGTTGTTTATCTCCCTTTGTTAGTGCTGAATGACCGTGTTCCTTTCGAAACTGTTTCGTTTCGAGATAGTCCCTTATCAATCTTTGCTTTTTGAGATCATCTTTATTTGCACCGTGTGGACCACCATACAAACATTCTTCCAGCATCTGAGAATATTTATCTTTGACCACAGCAATGTGTAATTCCCTGGAATAAAAAATATGATTTTATCATCATCTTTTAAACTGTAAATGACGTTCAAAAGCAAAAATCTGCTAAAATAAGATCACAGCTAAAATATGGTCACCGCTAAAATAAGATCTCCACTAAAATATGATCATCGCTAAAATAAGATCTCCACTAAAATATGATCATTGCTAAAATAAGATCTCCACAAAAATATGGTCACCGCTAAAATAAGATCTCCACTAAAATATGATCATCGCGAAAATAAGATCACCGCTAAAATATGCAAGTTAACAGCACTATAGTAGGAATTTGGTGAAGTTCACAGTTTTATGCCTTATTTTAAAATATAGCGACTGTTTATAAATTATAGAACGTCTAAACCTCTTACATCTTGTTTCAACCTTTTACAAGCTGAAATTATAAGACAAAATATGAAACTGACTACAAAAATAAACATCAAAGAAAAGAACTATCTTGTCTGACTTCATTACATTAACGTTATGTGGCTAAGTAGCAATACAGACAATACTATAAGATTAAGAGTGGCAGTAAAACAATACCCTTATTTATAAAGACAATATGAAGTCGGAAAATATCTTCTAGATACAAATATAGGTTTCTGGCTTAATATTAATCAATATTATAAATTTATGAATTTTATGAAATATAAATTGATATTAAAACGCATTGAAACGTCAAACCAGACCGTGCACTAACTGTAAATTAATCCAACATGTTTTGTTCGAACATTTTTTTATTTTTTTATTTTTATAATTGAATCATACATTTCTAATCATGGAACAAGTAATGGATTCTAAGCGATTAGGCAAAAAACACACATACAAAATATGAATGTTTCATGTACCCCGACGACCCTAGTTTTTACCTCCGACCCGGGCAATTCTATCTCACTCGAATGCACTTTAACGTCCCATTGGAACGCGCCAAAAAAATCGTAAGCGTCCTTTATACAACAGTATTAAACAGCTGACCTGTCCTAACTGGAATTTGTTGTAATTTCTTCAGTGAGCCCACCTCGCCCCCTTCGCATTGTAATAAAAACATAAATAAATCAAGAAATAAAATAAATAAACAGATAAATAAATAAAAATAAATCCCTATCGACCTACCCTATTTTTTCAGTCATAATACCTGAAACATACATTGTTTTGCCTTGTCATTGAACATACCTTTTCATTTTGTCATACAAAGGGATAAGGCATTCGGCGGAGTCCTCACAAATGGTCATCAGTTGTCTAATGTTTGATCGTTCCATGAACAGCAACGAGTTTTGTTCGAGCATTTTCTTGACCAAACCTTTGTCGTAATCACATTCAACACCGTAGAGTCGACAAATGTCGGTTAAAGTTTGTCTTTGATAGCCAAGCTTTCTTGTCGGTAACCTCTTTTCTATGGATTCTTTTACCATCTGCAGAGTCTGTTGGAAAAAAAATAGAAGCTTAGTTTTCAATTTGTTACAATAATGGCCTAAATTGTTAAAAAAATTTTGAAGGAGAAATACGTAGTGCCCTCAGAAATGTTATAGAAGAAATACGTAGTGCCCTCAGAAATGTTACAGGAGAAATACGTAGTGCCCTCAGAAATGTTACAGGAGAAATACATAGTGCCCTCAGAAATGTTATAGGAGAAATACGTAGTGCCCTCAGAAATTTTATAGGAGAAAAATACGTAGTGCTCTCAGAAATGTTACTGGAGAAATACGTAGTGCCCTCGGAAATGTAATCTTCAATTTAACCTGCAGTGTGTAACCTGTATAAATTCTACCTACATTGTAGGTCATGTAATAACAGAAACACACTTTCGGTTGGCTACAAAAAGAAAAAGGAAAAAGAAAAAAAAAGTTCCTCTCAATAGCACTGCTGAATGCTTCATGAATGAAATGGCCACATCTTCAATAAATACTTAATTTTGTTTGGCTTTCGGCCTCGATTTATCGTATTTCTAGTGATATTTTTTGACGTGTAATAAGAAACTTGCATTTGCTTGGAGGCGTTCTAAGGAAGAGTTCTATAACAGAGCTCACTTTACCTGGGGTGGTCTCCCATCTATACAGAAGATAAAGCGACAAAACGGACTTTTTCTGGTCTCGATCGGTTACTATTTTTTTTAATATTCATCTCGCAATTTGATTCTGTGAATTTATAAATCCTGGATAGCAACATTGATATATAATGTAAAGAATCGACAGTGGAGAGGTCCGAGTTTTTGTATGTTTATAATCTATATTGTTTGATTTTTAGCCTAATACTAAAATCCCGAACAAATATCATTTTGTAAAATGCAGCACTATGTGGGATTTGCTGGGTTTTATGAAAACTTCTGTAGAATAGGGCTCAAACAAATATTTGAAAGGGTTACAATGGTTATAATGAATTTTAAAGGCGGGGTCAACATTTGGCCCCCACTTTGATTTCCTTTATTCTTTTGCCATGTGTGGATACATAAAAATGACCAATAACTGCATAAATGATTATTCATTATTAGTACTGATAACCGTAGTGGACCTCCTTGCATAACACCAGGTTGAGTGACGGGGGTAGCCTACCAAAATGATAGATAAATATCACAG